CATTCCTTCATTTCGTGCCCATGGTCTTAATGATAAACACAATACTTCTTGAGGTCCCGGAGGTAAGCATTGGTTTTCATCAAGGGTGCTCTCTTGAAATAATCTTTCTTTTGAATGACCTCCACTATTTTGGCCATTAAATCTCCCAACAAAGTTGCATTGGGTGCTTCATAGTTTGGAAACACACACTCATTTTATCGAGCTGGTCATTGGTCAAAATATCGGACCTACCTCTATGGTCCCAAGAAGAACAAGTTTCTTCGTGGAATGGGCGAGCAGAAGAATGTGAATCATGTCTTGGCTTCCATCCTTCACCATGACGGGTTTTCTTCTGCGGGCGGCAGGTGGAGTACTCTACTTTAGAGGAAACTGTATTGTAGTTATATTCCTCGGCTAATATGTGAATAAAGCTTAAGAGGAGAGAGAGATATATATAGAGAGATAAAGACAAGAGTAAACATAAAATTTGGTTGTATTATTCATAAAATGACAATGATATGGCCGAATGTGAATAAACATGTATTAGGTTACAATAATAAAATACCATGTTTTATTCATAAAATGACAATGTGATTATATTACATTTTCGCCTCCTACTTTAAAGAGGTATGTATTAGGTATTTTTTGTATTTTACATATATGAGCTTATCATCCGATTGTGTTTTGGCTCGGTTAGCTAACATTGGTTGGCAGGATTAGGTTGGTCAGCTAAGATTACTCAGTCAGCCGAACTTGATTGATATGGCCGAACTGTCAATCCTTGACTCTTGATGAGGATTCCCTGGGCATCCCTGTAACAGTTGGAGATACCTAGGAACCAGATCTTCCCTCAGGTTGGCTTAACTGGAAGGCAAGCTATCACATTTGTCTTTCCCATAGTGATTTGCTTGGATAGCTTCTTCATATTGTTTCTGACCGAATGGTTCATGGTTGGATCATTCAGTTCTCTTTTGTTTGCTTCGTGACTCGATCCACTTTGACCTTGCCAACTTTAGCACAGATAGCTCCACTTGTCGACAAGTATGCCTATGATCTTCTATTGATGAACCCTTCTTCATTGTATACTTTTCTTCTAAACCACTATATCTCCTCAGGATCAGTGCCTGCACATTTTCGATGCACATATAAGAATTTGAATCAAATGTTGAAAATTATAATCCTCATACTTAGGTGTTCGTGTGCGAATAAACATTCAATTATAGCCGTATTTTCTTGAACCACTTGAGTACTTCTCATAAATTTCCGCTATACCAATATGATACATTATTATCCAAAAACTTCTGTAAAAAAAAGCCAATGATATACATATATCTATGTGGAGAAGGCATGCAAGAGAGCACTTCATGATAAAATATTAGGCATACATTTTGCAATAATAATGAGTTGATATTTTAATAAAAATATTTGTCCAAAATCCGTTAAGAAATAGCATAAGTACTTGAGTAGTTTAAAGATGAAATGGTATGCAATTCTTATAATATATTGCATATTTAATGTCAAATGATCCGCCAATAAATATATCAAATAGCATGCAAGTAAATACCTTTTGTTAATTTTTTTACTTATATATTTCATATTATATTTGAAAGAAAGGAAAATGAATAAATTGTAATTAAATAATTTATTTGTGTATGAAAAAATAATTTAGTTAAGACAGATTTAAACATAAGGAGTAAAGGTCCAACTTGGAAATACATAAATTAAAATTTGAATTGGGCACTCTGTCATATATGTGTTTATTATGGTAAGGAGATGAATGGGATATATATCAAGCTAAGGAACACCTAATTGGTTCTTCTAAATCCATCTAAATTAAGTAATACTACTAAATATATGAAAGTGGGGGTGTAAACGAGCCGAACATGAGCGACCCCAGGTTTAGCTCGTGTTCGGCTCGTTTATTTAGAGCTCAAAAAATGTGTTTGTGTTCTGCTTATTTGCTTAGCGAGCTGAACACTAGCCGTTCACGAACAAAGAATCGTTTTGACAACCCTAATCACGTAGTTATAAGATGTTAAGGATTAGGATAAGATTTAAAACATCATTTGAATCTAAATTAATAATTTATATTCTATTTTCTTCATTAATACTTTTAATTGATTATAAATCTTTATAGCCTTGCAGTCAATTAATTTTTTTTAATAATACTACTCATCAGAGATATATATATATATATATATATATATAAAATTGATTAGTAGTATTTCGAGTCAAAATGAGCCGAACACGAACGAACAAATATTTGTTCGTGTTGGCTCGTTAACTTAGCGAATGAGCGCAACACGAGCTTCTTAACGAGCCGAACACGAGCTGTTCGCGAACAACGAGCCGTCTTGACAGCCCTATATGAAATTTCCTTCGGATGTAAGAGATGGGTTGCTTGCTTATAAAGAAGAATTAAGGAAATCTAAACATAGTTTATACATAGAAGATAATGAAAAGGTGGTTGATATAAACTAAAGAAACAGATAATCAATCGCCCTTAGACCGTGGTAACATAAAATCTGAATCATGCTTTGAATCAGAGAATAATAACACATCTAAAATGAGAAGTTCAATGCATAATTTTAATATAAGAAAGCTAAGAGAGAGGTTGATAAAGGAAAGATATTAGGCATATGTGAATTTAAATAAATAAAAAAAAGGTTATCAGAGAAACTATTATACAATACATTATGGCATGTGGTTTTATCAAGTAGAAATTCCTTGGAATGCAGTGACATTGGAGAAGAGTTTTGATCATATAATTGAGGCAGTTGGACAATATGAACAAGAGCTTCGACCATTCTGTAATCATGAGCTCAGAATTTTTTTCTTTTAAAAGAGTTACAGTCAATTATGAATGATATGGAAGACAATACAAAAAATGGGGAAAGAGATGAAATGTACTCTCATGTCTGGTGGTGGATATATATATAATAAAAAAATTGTATGCTTATTTCAAAAGACTAAAATAAGTCTAAATTTAGTGTTGATCATAAAGAAGAAAAGGCTAAGGAGATTATTCTTAAGTCTAAGTTTTGAAATGACATATTACCCTTTGAAGGTTACAGACTCAATAGTAAAGATGTCAAGATTAGTAGACGGTGACAATAGACCTGTAATGAGTTATATTTATGATGCAATGGATAAAATTAAGGATCCAACCAGTGTTGCATTTAGAGGAGATATATATATATATATATATATATATATATATATATATATATATGAACAAGTCTTTCGTATTATTAATAATAGATGGAGCTGTAAACTCCGACAACCAATTGCATCAAGTTGGATATATTTTAATCCAGAATTCTTTCTTATAAGAATAAGTCTAGGATACAATTAGATGCACGATTGATGAAAAATGTATGTGCAGTTATTAGTAGGTTAGTAGAAGATCCAAATAAAAGGACAATAATGCATAAATAAATTTATATTTATATTCATGGCAGTGGTCCTTTTACAATTGAGTATGCTATCCGCACCGGAGATAAGGAAGCTCTAGGCATGATCAATTAACATTTCTACTTTATTTTCGGTTTTTAATTAAAAGAAGTTATGTACAACATGACATTATAATTATAACAGCAAAATAGTAGAAGATGTAGCTACATCAACTCTAACTTTATAAAAATTAACTCTCAAATTAGTAGGATTGGCCTACAGTTTTGTTGGCTGTGAGAGAAATTAGAATGTGTTCAAACAGGTTAATAATTTATAAATTTTAAATAAACTAACTAATGCATTTGTTTTTTGCATTCATTTTATTAATAGTATTTTGACAGACTCATATGAAAAGGAGACATCTCCTAGAACAAAAGCACTTAAAGATTTAGTCTTCATCAAATACAATCAAGCTTTGAAAAGAATATTCCGCTAAAGAAATATTATTAACCTGATTAGTTTGGATTCAATTGATGAAAGTTGTGAGTGATTGATTGGAGGATTGGGGGATGTTGGTAATCAATAATTTGGTGATGAAGATCTTACTTGGAGACAAATTGAAGAGGCTTCAGAAGTAGATTAAAGATGACTGATAAGATTTTGTCAAGCAAAAAAAAATAGGGGGATCATCTATAATGATGACGGGTTCACCTCAGCATGTATGTGCTTCTTCTATGTCAAAAAAAGAAGATGAAATTTATTCACAAGAAGAAGAAGAAGAGGAGAAAGAAGAAAAAATAATTAAAGATAAAGAAATTTCACCTGAAGAAGAAATAGATTATGTGAATGAAATAAAAGATGAATACTACTAATTTACATTAACGTATTATATGAAATTTGAGACTACTTTATTTATGCTTGAAAATTTAAAGTTTGTTGTTATAAGATTTTTTTAGCACTGTTCTTGGTTTTTATTGTTGTAGTAAACTATTAAAAATTATTTGAAATTTAACTTGCAAGTTCACCCTTAAAGTTTGTCTTCAAGTTTGGTATTCTGCAACATTCTTTTCTCTTTTATATAAACTTTTTAGGTCAGATTATAATTGCTCATGAATGCATTTATAAATTAATTGTTTTATATAACTTATTAACACTTTGGTTATTAAAAGCGCCACTTTGCTTTGCGCTTTGAAGCAAAAAAAAAGTCTTGCAAATCTCATTATGGTTTGAGCTTTGATAACTCTGGTAAATGCATAAGGATTGTGATATGTGGGTTTTGGGTTTGAGATCGACAGCAGATTTATCACCCACGCGCAGTTATTGCCTCTCTAACGCTAAGAATCTCTGAATTCCCGTATGATTTGGGTGTTTTAAATGAATATATATATATAATTTGGGTGCTAAATATGTAAATACATAAGAATTGGGTGGTGTGCATGCCCCAGTAATTTTATGTTTATTCTGCTATACTTGCATATAAAGGATAAAGGAATTGTCATCTACTAAACTATCACATTAAATGTTAACCATCTGATAATCCAATGTGAAGAGTATGTGTTTTAGACTGGCCTTATGCCAAGAAAGCTACATGCAGACCTAAAAAGAATTGGACATGCTGTATAAAATTTTTTCTTAATTTATTAGAATTAAATAAAAATACAACACTCAAGAGGACTTCATATGACCGAACCCACTTAATGAGATAATCCCATTAAGGCTTCTTGTTGCTGTTTTCTCACTTTCAAATCATTGATTAAATGAATGCGTTAATTATTGATGGATGATAATATTTACAAATAAGATAAATTTCTTTGGTCCACATGTAGTCTCCTAGAAATTAAACATGGGATTTGGGTACTATGTATGTAAATGTCCCTATTTTTTTATACTGGAATGAATCAGCTTGAAATCAAAAATGGAAATATTTCTACTCTAGAATGTCTCAAATTAACTCAATAGGTTAAAATTCCTCATTCCAATACAAAAAATGAAATCAGAAAATGGACTAACAACAAACATGAATGTGGTCATTAGCTTGTACTTCAACAAAATGATGTCCAGTATTGCAAATTTCTGACCAAAATAGATAAAAAAAAGGGAAAATAATTTATTAGCAAAATACAGTAAAATAACTCACATGCCCCAAAAAATATTATTGAAACGTCAAACTGGAATACAACCTATAAAGAATATATTACAAAGCATATATCTACAGCCAGTCTGAAATGATCTAGCAATGAGAAGTTAATAAAAATGACAAAATTACAAGAACAACAACCAGGTCAGAGCCTCTATATCAAGTATAATATTTCTCACTAATCTGTGTACCAGTATGGGAGCTGGAAAAAGAATGATTAAAAAAAGGCAAAAGGAAGCAGAAATAATGCAAGACCAATGCCGGTGAAGAAATTAGAAGTTAAGGAATTGCCGTCAGAAGGAGACAATACTGTCACCTGAGTACCATTTCCAGTCTGTTTTGTGGCTTCCGGACTGTAACCGTTTGGTCCTAAAGTAGGTGGTGGAGGAAGAGCTGAGGAATTTTTTGGATTCACAGGGAGGGGATTGGAATCCTCAATATTATAACCTGAATAAAGATTGTGGTAAAATAGAAAATTCATGATTAATATTTTTGAAGCAGGGAATAGATTTTTTTTTTTAAATTTTGGGAGTGGGCAGACATACAGTTAAATTTCTTCCAACCAAGAATCATTCTCTCGCGATCAAACACGACGCGAAGGCCGGTTAGGAAATTCTCTGCATGAAATATATATGCCATGATAAGTCATTTCCAATATTGGTTGTTTGTGCAAGTAAAAGAATTGCAGGCTACTGTAAAAGAATTGAGAGAAAGAAAATTCAAATAATGAACACCCATAATCACAATCATCATTTGCCGTATTCAAATCATATGGGAACGGTTTCTGAATCTATTTTTAAGGGGTATAAACAAACATACCACACAATTCTTATGTATTTACAATATCCAACACACAAACATTGATATTTACTTATATAACACCAAATCTCCCACGCCACATAAAAAACATTACTAATATTAAGCTTTCTAAAGTAAAATAAATCTTTTCATGTATATTTTTTTGATGTGATTGAAGTGCTAGATAAAAAATAGCAAATTTAGATGTTAGATGTATGCAAATCTCCCTATTTTTTATTAGTTCTTAATACAGGTTTTCAAAGATGATCAACCTATCAAATAACGGCCAGCCATCAAAAGCTAAAAGGGGCATAACTAATTGCAATGAAGCCCGTGTCAATTTGGGGTTTAGGAAGAGGTAGATGAACGTCATAGTTTTACTCTTATATTTATAAATAAACTATGTTCATGACTTGAATGAATTATTTCCAAATCACATTGGATGCAATCTAAACAATACCTTAGGCACAACTTCCCAAGCCAAATGATAAAAGACATTCAATAGGCTCATTAAGACGAACATATTTTGGTACCAGTGTTTCAACAAAGGACAAGTGGGGAGGAATGCAAAAAGTCTGTCTACCGGAGTAATATCTAATTTGGATTAAAGATGAAAAAAGATGAAAAAACTTACGCCCGATGATATTCAGTTTGCTACTCTTGACAAGAGCCAAGCAATACATAAAATCACGCTGCTGCTGCAAAAATAGCAGAAAATGTTAATGCGGATAGAAATGTAAGGATCTGATGATTAACAGCATTCTATAAGATGAAGTTGAAGCTTACTTGATTGGATATGAAAATTACAGGATAATTAACTGGAAATTTGCTTCCACCTTGAGTGATGAAATTAATAGCCGGTAAATGGATGACAGATTCATTAGAACTGCAAGAATCAACAATTGAATCAAATACCATAAACATAAAAGAAAGAAGTTATTTTGTAAGCATAGATTTCACATAAACAGATCAAAATAACAACCTTAAGTAATAACAGTACTCAAAAGGGATGCTAGAGTCAGCATTTGCTCGTGTTCTTTTAAGCTCCGTGTTAAACTGAGAAGTAAATAACAATCGTATTTAAATGAGAGATTTCACCTAAAGGCCCTTGAACTACATTGTTTGAAAAACTTACACTCTCGGAGAGTTTTGTGTAGGCAGGATCTGCCAAAGTTGTGAATGAGGTTCCCGAATCAACCAGAGCACTAAAGCTTACATCACTGGAGCTATTGCCAACCTCAATTCCAGTTATGCTGATATTATATATAGAGCTGCAGAGCCAGATTTTAAAATGTAAAAACAAATTTTAAAATATACAGAGAAAGATAATGCCAAAACCAACCGCAAAAACTATGGGAATGAAACCTGAAAGACATAAAAATTAGAAAAAGCTCACTTTTTTTCATTTACATTGAATGAGGTTTCCTGTTGATCTGAGGTTCCTTGATCTCCAAAATTAATTCTCCCAAAACCATCACGTCCAAAGCACATTGAAAAGGAATTTGATGTGAGGCCCCTACTTGATAAAACACTAGGAACGGATAAATTGTCCATCCCAAGCCCGAAAAGGCCATTTGGAGCAGCATCACCTAAAAATGAACCAGTCTGGATTTGTCCACACCTGCAAATTGAATTTGTAAATTGAATTATACATTGGCCTAATGATAAAAAAACAAAAAAGATCTTTAAACGATTTTTGTTTGCTGCAAAAGAAAATCATACCCAAATACTATTGGCGCCTTGACGACCTCAGGCTTGCTATCTTCAGTAGTTAAGTATAAGACATCATTCACTAAATACCCAGAAGATGAGGTCTGAGCAGATACATATTCAACAATGTATGGACAAACATCTTCCCCTCTAGGACATCCATTATGGTTTCGATAAGCGCATAAAGTACTGTTACAAGGAACATTTTGGCTGGTTGTAGATACACTGGGACTGTAATTATGCAGCTCAACCCCCTGTTGCAATTTGGAATTATCAGACCAGCTTAAGCACAGCAATAAAAATGAACCGAGCATTATTGAAGTATAAATGAATTAAATAATTTCAAAAATCTTGCCGTTTTACTACAGCTTGAAACTACGGTGATGAAATTTTAGTCAATGATAGTTTACAAAAAGTGTAAAAAATAAAGAAGATTACATACATACCATAAAATTCTTATTTATTTACATATCTAACACCCAAAGTTTGATAATTACATTTAAAACACCTTGGTATTATAAACCTACGCATGAAAAAGTGTAATTCACTTTTAAGAAAGTAGTTTTTGTGGTATTTTTGAAGTGATGTTAAGGAATTGAGTGGTATGCATGTAAATATGAGTGGTTTCTATGTAAATGCCCCAACAAGAAAACCAGCTATAGCATTTTACTGATCATTATGATTACCCTAGAAAAAAAATAGGGATGTAATATTTGCGCCAATTTCTGCATGAAAACAGAAGCTTTTATACAAGGCTTAGGATGCACATTTCATTGAACTTAAAGCAACAGAAGGAGAAGAAATTTATTTCAATAAAAAAAGGACAAACCAAACTTAGTGCACGGATAAAAACAAAACTTGAAAAAAAAGGTAATATTCATGTATATTCTTTCACGGACAAAGACCTTGCAGATCCTTGCGGCTTTTACTATTACAGGGTAAAAGGTGGTCCATTATTTTTGCAGCTTTCCCCAATTTACTCATCATCTTACACCTACTCTATTAGTAATGTGGGACTTCAGGCTTTTCTAATTCCTATACTTCCTGCAACTGTTAAGAGTTCCAACTTTGGTGGCAATGTGGCAGGGAAGATGCAAAAATATTATGATCCACTTGCAGGCTCAAGTCTCCGGAAGCAAATTTTTTTATTGTTTGCAGCTTAAATAAGGGTTTAAATCACATAAATATTACTAATTACAAGTGCAATTCCTTCCACATTTGATAGTTAGTTCCTCAATCAAGGAAAAGATTTACAGAAGAATCTGGGAGGGATTCTCTCCCTATACAAATATGAGGCTGTGCTAGTCAAATATTTCCCATCTTCCTTCTTTTTCTTCCCCATTTCCTTCTTTTGCATTTTCATTATCAGTTAAAAAATGATTGTATTCAGCAAGACATAGTACAACCAAAATTTTGCCAAGCGTGTAAATTTCAACTGTGACTTTTGTGATATCACTCTCAGCTTTAATTTCTAATAGAATGTCAATGATCTTTTCATTTCGACTTATATTCCATCATACAATTGATGTTCGACAACGCAGTTAGTAAATGTCTACATTAAAAGTCTGCATCTTATAAATCTTGAGTGGTTATTTTATGATTCTCGTTTTTTATCTACATTAGAATTACTATAACCTAAAATGTCATTCATCAAATTTTAAATCAAATCTTAAGGTTGTATAATGACAACTTTTTGATGAATAATATAATATTGGAAATAGTTAAAAGAACAAAAAGAGATGAAATTTAAATAAATTCAAATCGACAATAATTTTAGCACAACTGTTGTGGAGATTAAAAATATAGTCTTACATTTAATTGGAGACATAATCTTATGATACTTCATATTGGATGAATAATCTAGAGAAATTATTAAATTTGCTAAGTATTGCAAGCAAAACCTATATATGTTGAGATATGAAAGATGAACATAAAACAATATTTGACATTCTTGAATTATAATAATGAACAAAATATTAATTCTGAGAATTTTTGAAGTAAAGTACCATAGTCTGACTATGTTTTAGGTTTCGAGATTTTGAATCCAAATTTTTTTCCCTAAAAAATTATTATATTATTAAAAATGTATTTTATGAAAATGCCGGGATATTAAATTAAGCATGAGTTGATCTACAATCTCAAATGATAAAAGACGAGACATATCAAAAAGCTTTAAATTTTGAAAAAAAATCACACATATAGCTTGTTGGTGTTATTGTACCTCAGTTTAACAATTCTAAAAAAAATCTAAAATCTTATGCTACTCGCCTGAAGTCTATAAAACACACACCAATATTAATATTATGTTTGATCAATTCATCATGATGAAAAAACTATAGTTCATGACTTCGAATCGAAAATTGAGCCAGAGTCAAAATTTTGAATATAAAAGTAAACATGACCAGCATGTTTGAAGATAAACCTCAAATAGAATCAGAATGTATCTATATCAATGAAACTAAACAAACCATGTTTGTTGAAGTTGTTCAATTAATTGTGTCATCAGATAATATAATTCTTGAAAAAATATAAATTAATATTACTCATATGACAAATAACTAAACTGATATTGATTTTGATTGTGTTCCTTGATTTCTTGACTTGAACATTCCTAAAAAAAATTTTATTAAGAAAATTAAATTTGGTAAAGAAATACATAGATCTATTGAGTTGTCATTTTTGAAAATATGCTTGTTTAGTGTGTTTTTTAAATGTTTTTAATTGTTATTTCTAAAATAAATTAGCATAGTTTTGAAAACACTCAAATAACTTTTAGGTACTTGGCGTTTTCAAAAACAATCATATCTTAATCAAATATGCAGAACATATTTTGTTTCAAAACATAATAAAATAGAAAAAAAATAGAAATTTAAAAACACAAGTTATCCGAAACGGCCCCTAAGTATTTGTTACATAGTTTTTGCATCTCACGTAAAATATATATTAGGGAACCTAGACTATACGATATATTACTTTAATAAGATTATCAGTACAAACAAAGTTATCTGTATCATAATTTTCAATGTACCTTGCATGCATATGTTTGTGCATGCAAGGTGCAAGGAGATGGAAAAATCAACTTTGTTAATATCACTCGCATTTAAATTGCCATGTGTACATACAAGAAAGTGGAAGCATCAAACTCTGTAATATCTATTTAAAATCATAATCAACTTATGCCCTATATGGGAGTCAGCTTCATGAATCCGAAGTAGTCATTTATTCCTACCAAATGTTGTATAAGATATTAAACATTCTCTATGTAATTCTTATGCAGACATGCCTACATGTTTGTGTACATGCAAGGAGGAAGAAGCGTCAAACGCTTCAACATCTCCATAAAATTATCATTGCCTATATCCAACAATTTGATGTTCAACTTCATGAGTCTTCAATTTTCATTCATTCCTATAGTGTTATATGGGATGTTAAAACTCATCTACATAAATCTTTTAAAATAACTTCTTCCTATGTTCGTTAAACTTGTTATATATAAATCTCTTCGAATAACTTCTATCCATGTTAACTAAATTCTATCCCTTATACAAAGATAAGAATGCATCTAGATGAATCTACACAAAAGATACCATGACTAGCCAAAAACAAAAGTAGGTAGGAGGGGTAGAGAAACAAGGAAAGAGATGGAAGTTATAAGAGAAAAAGAGGCAACTTGCGAAGTAGGAATAAAATCTATAGCATGCTAGAAATCTAGATAGTATAAAGAGGGATGTCAATTATCTTTTTCTTTGAATGATGATTCACAAAAAAATTGAGATATAAAATAGAGTAAGCAAGAGCCATATGAAAAACACGAAAAAATAAAAAATATATGGCAGACATGGTTAAAACAGATTCCATTAGTAACAAATATAAGTTAAAAAAGGAAACCCCCCCCCCCTCAAATTTGAAGAAAGAAAAAATAAAAAACAAGTAGTAAAGTTTTCATTTGCTTACGCACTATATTTCAAGTTAATTTCAAGGGATCACATATAACAGTGGTATCCTAAAAATGAGCTTATATATGAGTATAAAAATTTTATTGATTACAACTTGCAAAGGCTGCAAGATTAATCTGAAAAACACTTTGAGCACTAGCTGCTTAAAACTTTATTTAGTATCTTGGTCTACTAGGAAGCATAACTTGTCGTTTTATCCACTGTAAAGCCAAAATTTGTCAGTACATGTAACTTTGTTGCACAAGTACTTTTGCTAAAGTAGCAATTATAGAAGAAATATAGACTTAGGCTACATCAAACAACTATATATATGACAATAACAGTTTTATAAACATCACCAAGAATTACATTCAACACTCATGTACGAAACACATACAGATTTAACATTATTTCATCAAACCATGCAACCAATGGAGATGTTGAAATTGAACATGTAAGCATCGAGTGACAACTTTGCAAACATTTTCAAAAACCATTAGGTGAGACTTTTTTTTCTTTTTTCTAAAGAAATGCTTAGAGATGCAAGATCAGTTGCTATAGTTTATTTTAACATTCTAACAATATCATTGTGTATTTATATATTTGTATAGAATTTATCTAAAACTCATTTTATACCTATTTACCCAAGGATTATGTTTTAAAATAATGTCAATAAATATCATGGAAGGATTTTCACAAAACAACTTTGCAAACATTTTCACAAAACCATATAGGATGAGAAGTCTCTCCATAACCTGATAATAGAGAAGATAGGAACTATTTTGGCAGAAGTAGTTGATGTATTCTTTTAAGAATATCTAAATATTTAGCGAGTGTTTGCAAGGATTTATGGGCAGTTGTTATCACGTCATGGGGAGACTTCTCATCTTACCCATCATTCTAAATCTAGATCAACATCCATATGCAATCAATTGGTGACATTTTCAAGGTGGTTCATTGGGTCGATCCCACCATTGAATCGATGGTTAAGCATCGGCCAAGAAATAAGCAGCTTTCAATAGATCTTATTCCATACTCTAATGTTGACAATGATGACGATGAATGATTATTTGTGGCTATTACACTTATGATGTTGATGCATTTGCAATTATTAATAATTTATTATGGAATATGCTTACATTGTACTCTTGTAAGAACTTTAATTTTCTTTTAAGTATGACAACAGGGAGTAGATGCAATAAAAGAAATACATAGTTTTTGTTTAGTTTTTATTATAGTGATGTTTAATTTTATAGTTTACACAGCAAAATATTTAGTAAACAATGCAATATCTCGTTGAAAAAAAATTATATTTACTTAATATTCAGTGAATAATGTAATATTTCATTACAAAAGCATGTGCAAAATCTTAGGAGGAAGTTACTTAGCCCAAACTCGATTATTCATATTTTCAAATAAGTATGGCATCATCGAAAAGGAAAAAATAGTTGACCACATGAGCCAAAGATTGTTAACCCTACGAGTTCACGCCAAATACTTAATTTTGATAACAAACTTACTCAGGAAAGTGGTCTAATAGCTATTTGAGATCTCTTATAGCTACCCAAGTAATACCACATAGAATAAGAAGTGCACATAAAGCTGTGCTACAGAAATAAGAATGCTTTATTTTCTTCATATGAACTAGAAGCTGTATATGATTTTAAAACTTGCAAGTCTTTACAATCTAATATAATTATTTAATATATCTATAATTATAAATCAAAATATTACTTAAATTATTATATGTATATTTTGATTTTTCATGGGCTGTTTTCTTAATTACTTAGATTCAAATGATAAAAAAATATTAAAATTTATATTATGGGTTTCCAATATGCCGTTGCAGTAAATAAACCTGTGCCAATGCATTTTTACGTAAATGAACTTAAGCTTTAGTCCAGTATTTTTTAATTATTAGAAGACCTCCACAAAGTTTAGTAGGACTCTACTAAGCCCTTTAACAGGCCTCCATTAAATCTCTGTAGACCTCTACAAAGTTATTTTATCAACTAAAGAATATATTCAATTAGTCGTTAAGTGTTTAATCTAACTCCTGATTAGGCCTATCCAAGCTATTACAAACCAATTCTCCATGACTCTAATGGACTCTTAATATATGTTAGAAACTTTCTAAAAGTTCTAAACTATAAATATGTAAAACTCAAAATGAAATCCCTTGATCTTCTAATGTAAAATCTTATGGATCTAAGGAAGAAAAAAAGGCTTGATCACTTTGTATTATTTCTTCGAAATCATATTTGTGATTCAATTCATTTCACATATTTTTAAATAGAACGTGTAAGATTGTTCTTAGACATTAAATTTTTATATATTTTTTTATCTCTTAGTTACTAAGCCTTCTGGATAAATCTTAAAGGAGATACCCACCCTTGCCCATGACGAGGATGACAGATCTCTTCCTCTAGAAGAGGTGTAAGGGTTTCTCAATACACAAACTATGAGTTGGTAGATTAATTACTCGGGTAGAATAATCCAATGTGCAAGTTGTGCTTAGAAGTGAACATTTACTTTAGTACAAAATTGATTTGTCTCTTTTAATCACAACACTTTTAATTTTATTCATCTTCATGTGAAACATCTTTTAGATTTGAGATATAATCAGATAAAAAAATCATGAAAATATTTTAAAGAAAATATTAAATTTCCTAATCACCATTGATCTTAATCAATGCATATAACATTATATTTCGATTCTTATCCAAAAAATGCAAGAATATATCCCGTTGTTTTCAACAATGAATGAAGCAAATTGCACCTTCCTATGATCGCAAAGTGATTGGATGAACTTTCCCATGGTTGGCACGACCAACGTCACTGAGCTTTGGGTGGATTGAGTGGTTTGCACTAGTTGGCAACAATGGTCTAGTGGTGTCAACCATTAAAGATATCTCTAATTGATAAATCAAATAAACTATCTTGTAGATGTTAATCTCACAAATCCAATTGAGGCGATGGATCAAAATTCTAAGGAATGGATTGTTGAAAATAATTTTGAAAAGGTTAATAGCTCAAATTTAAGGTCTCAAAAATAGTGCCAAAAAGTCATCATTTTTGCATCAAAATATTCATTAATGTAAAAACATCAATTTATCATAAACAACATGTGAGATAAATATCTGTAAAGGCTGCAAGAACTCTGAGAAGCAAAAAACTTATCAACAAACCACATAAAAAAAAGTGCACAATGACACAATTAGTTGGACAATCATAAAACTCTTAATAAATACTTTTTTGGGGAAAGTTTGAGAAACCCAAAGGGCCACCACCTAGACTTAATGTGCAACCCTGTATTGCCCGCAAAGAGAGCGATTAGCCCGACTAGGTTATCAATTTGTAAGTTTGTGCCTCTCACTCATCCAAATTTTGTGAATTGAATGTCCATGGAATCGTTATCAGAAGGCATTATTTGGTGGTCATGTGTACAAACTCGTAATGAGGAACCTGATCTTGCTTAGTTAATAGACGGTGTTTAGATAAATAAAGGCGCAAAAAAGTTAGTGTTCTAGCCTCAAAAGCGAATGGTGAGCACAGACCCCTTGAAGGGCAAGAAAGACCCAAGCACGTAGTGTTTCTAGCAAGCCAATTGACAAATAAAAGTCATCATACATACAAATCATCATTTTAGGGAAATTCCCACTGAGATGGTGAAGAAACCGGGCTTCATTCATGAGTTTTCTTCTTTAGTTCGATGGTCAAAATCTCATCAATGGATGAGCACTTCGCCTGTTAGAATCATTCACAAACTTTCTTCTTGATTTGAAAATGACTTTGGCATTTGAGTCATTTTGAGCTAATATTATTTATGAATTAGATTTTGAAGTAAAATCGATCGTCAATTGAATCTCCTTTGATTATCTTCATATATACACCCCAACAACCCCTATTGGGCATAGCATAGCACCTAAAATTATCTTTCAATCAGTGTTAAATACTCATCTTTACATGAAACCAAATTTCAGATAAAAAGAAATTTATGAAATATAATTAGAGATAAACAAGTTAACATGAAGTAACTAGAGTTTCCCCAATCCGTGTTACCAAAAATCAAGAAAATTGAAATAATCAAACATGATAAATCAACCTAACACCATCAATTAAACAACCTTAACTTCCCACAATATCCAACAGCTATGTTTCTTCAGCGATGATTTCCTTTTCCTTTTTGTTTTCTCTTTTATCAGTTTCTGAGTTTTTTGGTTGGTTAATATCTCAAATGAAATTCTATCAAATTAGATAAGTCAATTGTCAAGTTCATTGACATCTCAGTTATAGTGACAACAAAATAGAAGTGACTTCGATGGCAGGTAGAAACTGGAGGACATGGGGAGGGCTTGAACCAACACCCCTCTTTGAGACAACACAGCAGAACATTTAAATTACAGAAGCAACAATTCACATATTTCTCTGCACTGCCTTTCACGTAAAAGTGAACGAAACAATCACTTATTATTTAACTCCCGCATCAAACTCTAAGATTAGTCAATTCCTCAACAATCTCACCCATAATAACCAATATACATGCTAAATTTTTTGTAGAGCAACACAGAATGTCGTATTCAATACCTAATTTACACTTCTTAGTTCAGGAAAGCAAACTCCTAGAACGACAAAGCTGATGAACTTCCTCATCCCACCATGACAATAAGAAATAATAAAAAATCAATCCCAGTGTCAGCTCAACCGTACATACATGAAATAGTGCTAAAATTTTACTTATCTAAACAATCAACGACAAAAAATTTCACATTAAAACCTTAATTTGATGCAACGCCCAACCACTAATTTTCCCCTACAGCCAATTGTACGCCCGCAGAGCACAACCAACAAAAAAGAAGTACACCATGAAGCTAAAGAATCAAGCAGAGCATACCAAACCGTTGCTATCTGAACTAGTCGGTGCACAGCTGGTGCAATCACATGGCACCCAGAATAAATTGCTCCCCGTATCCAACGCCACCAGAAACGTGACATTTGGAGTACCCAGTGAAACCTCAGCGTAATGCAAGCTACACCAAACATTCCAAAATGTTTCAGTTAAGTCTCCCATTCTGCCGTCATGCTTCAACAAGTCAAGAAAAAAAGCAAACCAAATAAGGATTCCGAGATCTTACAATCCAAGCAAATTGATCCTGACGGTCTCGTTCCCATCTGAGAAGGCCAGCTTAGGAGCCACCTCGGCGAGCGATCGGCCGCGGTCATGCCCTACAAGCGCAGCGTAGTATTCCGCTGTTCCCTTCTCCGGCCAGCCGCCGGGAAGGTCCCTCGGCATCGACTTCATCCACTGTCGGACCCGATCGGAGAATCGGTGGTGCATGTCGAACCCAAACGCCGGCGATGCATAACTCTCCTCCGGTGCAAAAAAGGCTATTACAAAGAAGTAAAAGAGGAAGGTGAAAGAAGACACGGCGGCCATGGGAGGAAAGAAAAGGAGAGAAGTGTGGAATTAGAAAACCTAGAAGCCGTGTGAGTAGGAATTGAGGGGTTAAAAGGGGAGGAAGAAATGGGAATTTGGTGTGCGACGCGTGGTTGACGTGTAGAAGAAGGTGGCGGTGGTCGCCGTTGAATGAGCTTTTTAATTTTTCTCGAGAAGCGACTCCGGCAACGACTCCGGCGATCTCCCTCGAGTTGGTGAGATGGAGCCCACGCTAGTTTGACTTACCACTGGCGTCTTCTAGTCTTCCGGTGTGTGAGTAAAAGTAGCAAATTGTTTTACATTTTTACCCTTCATTTGATTTTTTTTTTTCCTTGAGACAAAATGAGAGTCATACCCATCTATAGTTCTCTAATAACTCTCAAATAAAGTACAAAGAATAACTCCATACTAGCATCCACAAAAAAAAGGAAAGAATAGACTAGCATAACAAAAGCTAAGAAAATGAAGAATTGTTGCAACTCTCCCGACTCATCAAACATAGATTCTACAAGTTCCACCTGAGATAGCCCTTTTGGCCACAGAAACGACCTCCAAAGCATGATATTAGCAACCAAAATAAGAATTGTTTTCAAGCAGTTGAGAAAACATCCAAAACCATGAAAAGAGCATAGTAAAAACATATCTTCCAAAAAACAGGAGAATTAAATAATAAGAACAGTTTATTGGAGAAATCAATATGAAATAAACTCCAAAACATTAATCATAGACATCTCAACCTCATCCACAATAATATCAACTCTATTATAAAAACCTAAAGAGCAAAGAAACCCACTTGTCAAAAGCATGATAATCTTATCCAAATTAAAGGAAAATATATTTCCAAAATGATTGAATTATCATATATCTATGGATGACATCATTGCTCATATCAAGCTTAAAAAAATGAAATTGAACCCTAGGCAATAACAACTGCTAATATGCAATCTAAAACACAAAGCTATCAGTCATTAATTTAAACCAGAATCAATAATTAAACAAAAATACAAATAAAAAAACTATAAAGATCAAAAGTTCATGAAAAACATTTGAATGAGTTAAGAATATCCATGTTAAACATTTATCTCCTACTTCAGTGGATTACTAAGTGATGAATGTTTTGAATTATCAAGAGGAGTATAAGATTTGTTGAAAATCCTATTATTCCTCTGATGCCAAATGTTATAAGTAGCAGCTTGGATGAAAATTAAATGAAATCTTTTATGAATATCAAAAGAAATAGAAACAACATGAAATAAAACTTAAAAATATTATTACCCATTAAAAAAAAAACTGTCACACGGAACACAGAATTTAAGAGGGAATTATGAAAAAGAATGTTAAAAAAAACATGATTATGAGAGCAAAGAACACGATAGCATTGATCATAATCCCTCTAGAGTTAAGCACATCACAAGTCTTCACATATATGCATAATTTCCCAAATATGTGAAGCAAGTTTATTAGAAAAACCTTTAAACCAAACAAGCTTACACCATCCGCACTCACAAAAACTAGAAAACAAGCAATCATAAGATGTTTTATGAGAGAAGTGGCTAACTCCCCTCCTACTGCAACGAATGGAGCTATCAACAATCAGAGCATTCAAAATTATCTGGATATACAAATTAGGCACGGACTGGATATTACCAGAGCACCAACTACCATCTGAAACAATATTACAATGCTTCATCATCTTAGGGAAAACCAAACCATCCAAAGATAGATTCACCAAACTTCTCAAACAAAGAAACTCCACTCAACCACGTGTCAAAGTAAAAATATAATTAATAAATTTAAAGGTCATGCATCCCCTCATTCTAATATATTTTTTTCTCAAATATATTTGTTTAAATGATTTTATTTTTAAATTTTGTTGATCGGCATTTGCTCAAATTTTCTTTTAGATGAGCTCAATGGATGGATTTCAAAAATATTATAGAGGCTAATTTATCAATTCAAATTGAATTTAATCTCTTAATTGTCAGCATTTCGTGATTCTACATAGAAGACATGCTCCTATTTTTCAAGTTTTTCAATTAATAGTAATTTAGATTTTGAATGAAAGTTTTTGTAATTTTATATTTTTTTATAAGAATATTTTAAAGTTATACAATTGAATTTAGGGAAATACATAAATAGCACCCATTTCTTATGGATTTACCTATCTCGCACTTAAACATTTATTTTTACACACATAACAATCTATCTGATACGCCACCAACAAATTTTCATCATCTATCACGAATCTCGAGGCATGACATAAATCTCGAGGAAACATTTTGAGCAAGAAGTATTCAAATTTCAATTAAAAGTCGTCCAGAGCTCTGATTTCAACAAACTTTTGGTCAAATTGACAGACTCGATGAGACGGGTCTAATGATATCAAAGTTAGTTCAATCCGAGTCAAATCAAGCCCAGATTAAGTGTTTAAATCATTCTTGAAAGATTTCCTAACACATTTGAATGATCAAACAAATGTCGAATTCAACGAGTTCATAGTCAAATCGAGCGTCTCGACAAGACGGATCCAACGAGCCCAACATTGCTCAATTCTGACATCGTTAAGGCACTGAAATGTCCATCAAACGTCATCCGATCGAGGGAAGCTCTCCGTATCGTCCGATCAAAATTGTTCATATTCTTGTATTAATTGCACCCAGAACACTATAAATAGAGCCCCACCCCTCACATGAGGGGAGAGACTTGAGAGAGAACTTGAGGCATTGAGAAGGAGCTCAAGTCCAACATCATCTTTGTCATCGTCGGTCGTCATCGACTACCACCAACTGTCAGCCACCACCGTCGACCTCCGTCCACCTCCGTCGGCCGCCTCGACCTCCGTCAATCACCGCTGACCTCCGTCGACTACCGTCTAAAGTCATCGACTGCCTTCGACCACCGCTGACTACCGCTGACCGTACATCGTCAAACGACGTTGTGATCTAAAAATCTAATAACCCTTTTCCTCTAGGGGAAAGAGACCTCTGTAATCATCAATTTATAGTGAATTTTTATAGTTAGGCCAGACTCCGTGATTTTTTCGCTTTACGGGTTTTTCACGTAAGAACTTCTGGTGTCATCAATGGTTGTTTTTCTTTCATCTGAGTGTGTGTTGAATTCTCGTGCAACGCTAAGACGATAATCCATTACTCAACCGCCGCGAATTTTCCAGCTCCCATCACTATCTATGGATGAAAAGATTGCTATGATTATTAAAAGTTGATAATGAGTGTTACTTTTCATATGATATCTGTAAATATACAAGTTTATGTGTGAGATCGGCAAATATGAAAGTTTTGGGTGCTATGTATGTAAAAACTTATAGATCGGAGACAGTCTTCCAATCCTATTTCCATTTGAAAGCTTATGTTCAAAATATTCATTAAAACAGGATTTATAACTATACCAAAATATTTATGTATTTTCAATTATGGTGTAATAATTTTTATTTTTACATATATAATATTCAACACTTTAGATTACACAAAAATTATCATTAATATTAATTTATTTAAAATTAAACACATATTTTCATCCATATGCTTTAATATATTTTAGCACTAAAGTGGCATAAAAGTAAATATAAAAATTTTGGTATTAGATATAAATGTATATAAGAACTTTATGATGTAAATGTAAATCTTTAAAATAAAAAATTAAATAAGGTATGGAGGCCGCGTGAAGAGTTTTTTTCTTAAAACAACAACAACAACAACAAAGCCTTAATCCCCTTTTCAATATAAGTGCAATTGTTTTTATATAAAATGGGTCAAAAGACATAGAGAATACCCCATTTTGCCCCTACGTGGCAAGTCTATGCTTGTAGTTCTATTTCTTTTCTCTTCTGTGTCTCTTTTTTTTCTCACGTAAAGTTACCACAACTCCAATTTTTAGGCATGCTTTAAAGTATAAATTTAGATTCAATATTCTAAAAAATGTGGCGAGAGTGAAACATATTACTAATAAGAAGGAAAATGACACCATCAATGAGAAATATATCTTAGAGACACTCCCAACAGAGAGCGAGTAGAGGATTTCACGTGACAACATATTTAGAGCCAAAAATATTGTTGTCGTCGTCTTTTCAGAGGATTTGGCTAGGAGGTGAGTATCGCAAAATGGAAGGCTGGCTCCCAATGGTTGAAACAAGCCAACCGATCTTATTTGCGCACCACTCAACCAATTTCGAGCAAGTGACACCTCATACATAAAAAAGGGGAGTGTTACGTCATAACTTATCTTATGATATGACACAAATTTCTTTAACGTTGTCTAAGGTTCAACTCACCCTTTGGAAGCTTAGTTTAAAGTGAGTGAACAAGACATTAACAACAAATATGTCATCAGGGGCGAGCAAACAAAAAACACCCCCTCTGGGGTGAGTAAAAAAAATCCCCACTTGAGCAAGCAAACAAAAAAACTCTCATCCAGGATAAATAAAAAAAATTCCTTCTAGGGTGAGCAAACAAAAGACTCCCCTCCGAGGCGAGTAAGAAAAAAAATCCCTCTGAGGCGAGCAAATAAAAGACTTCCCTACGGAGCGAGCAAACAAAAAACTCCCTACCGACTTCGAGCAAACGAAAAACTCTAGGATGAGAAAACAACCGACGGTTCGACCAAATGACACGGGCGAAGATTAAGATTCAAGTTGGATGATATCATGACCGGCTATTTTCATAGGAGTCGGGTCGCCAATCAACACATGCAACTAAATCAACCCAAGCAAATATTTCAACACAATATCGACCAAAGAGTATATTTGGAGAAAAATGCTTCTAATTCGTCCAGATAGCACAAAAGATGCTAAGACAGAGCACAGAGAGCGCCTAAACAAGGAACATCATCAGTGATTCATGATATCATCTTGTTCTTATCATAATTGTTGCTATCAATGAACAATAAAACCGAGGAACTTAATATGTATATCCAAAAATGATATGCATGAATGTCGAGATAAATTAAGAGTCTGGTGCCAAAAATCAGTTGTGACTATAAAATAGTAACATAAACACATGCAACTCCCCTATTAAAGTGGGGCATTAATAAAAAGATCATAAGAACATATAACTCCTCTATTAAAGTGAAATATTAATAAAATAACCATAATAGCCTTTAACCTCCTTATTAAAGTAGGAGCAAACGTGTAATTTTAGATTTGTTCTCTCTTTCTCTTATAAATAGGTAGTCCATATCAAGTAGAAAGAATGTATTCTCTCTTGACTTTTCTTATGTACAGAGAACTCTCTTCCCTTCTTATTGTAACTATTATTTTTGATATA